GCACGATCGCACCGGCTAGCCTGGTGCGCGTTGCCATTTATTTTTTTTGATTTTGAGCAAGCCGAAAAGACGGTTGATGGCAATTTCGGCAATAAAAGATCGAAATACTTCCTAATTGTATGCTCGTTTAGTCTCTTTAGCAGCAAGTGCTAGACCAAACTGTAGGAAAAAAAAAGCTCTTGCGCGCATCGTTTCTTTGAATGTCACAGCTGTATTAACTGCTTCTGTATTTTTACTTATTATTTTTTCACTATTATTATCACTACTGTTATGATTGATACTGTAACAGTGTTATTTAGGAAGAAACAAATATCACGTTGAATACAGTTGACAGCATTGATTCGTTTGTGCATGATATACAAAATGGCCATTGGGATACTGTGCTGAAAGTGATTCAGCCTCTTAAATTACCTGCAAAGAAATTAATTGATCTCTATGAACAGGTAGATTCTTTTTACATAATACAGAGAACAGTTCAAGCAATGCTGCCACTAGACAGCATCTTTTTTTTCTGATTTTAGCCTGAAATCACAACTTGTTTTTTTGCAGATTGTGATTGAATTGACGGAATTGAGAGAATTGGGCTCAGCTCGTCTCCTTCTACGACAAACAGATCCAATGCAGTTGCTAAAAACTACAGAACCGGAAAGGTTAATTTCTTCTAGAAGTTTTATTGGTCTCTTCGGAATCGGAAAAAAATGCGTTACAAACTGCAGCATCGTCGACGACATACGGTATCAATATAAACTAGCAGTTGATCAGAGTACCGAATCAGTGTATCATGTGTTCGTGCACCAGTTCTCGTTAATTGCAGAAATGTGTTTTTTTAAGGTATGCTCGTTTAGACAATCTTTTGGCACGCTCTTACTTCGATCCACGTGAAGTGTACCCCGAAGGCAGTTCGAAGGAAAAGCGGCGAGCTGCTATTGCACAGGTTCACTTGCCAATTACTGCTTTTCACTGTGCCATCGATGGCTCATTTCTAGAACAGAATTTATCCATCCCAAAATGCACATCTTCCTGCCCTCGCCGAGCGTTTTGTTTTCACAAAAAAGCCTAAGGGTTTGCACAAATAATGGGTTGGAGACCGCAGTCATGAGTCTGTTCTTCCCCAAGAGGCTGTGTGTGGAGCCTTGGGTGGCGAGCACACTCAGACCTTCAAACCTACATTTGCGCATTAGTTAGGTTTGTATTTCCATATATGCCACTTATTTAGTCTGTTTTATCTGTTTTTTATTGCTTTCTGGCTTCGCTGTTCATTTTTTACGTTTTATGTTTTCCGTCAACAGATTATAGTTTTGAATAGACAATGGGAGTTATTCAATTGTCTATTGCTGCATTCGGCGAGTAGGAACATCCTACGGGTATATTCACAGTGATAGCTCGAACAGTCTTGATATTCTTGGTAATCAAATACATTTATGCTAAATCTTATACTATTTGAACAGAACAGTGATTTTAGTGCTTTAATTTGACCAGAATTACAATTAGTCAGTGAATTATGGCTTAAAAAATCGTCTTCAGCATTCCTTTGTCTCAGTGGTCGTGAATTTTATCATTTTCATTTACACTGTGTAGCCTGCTTTTATTTTTTTCTTAATTTGTGTTCTTCAGTATCCATTGCCGATTCTGTTTGAATTGCGCAGTTTAATTTTTTTCCAGTCATTATCAGCGGAGGTGAACGTTGTTCCACCATCTCGATTGCTTGCACTTCTGGCACAAGCGCTGAAATGGCAGCAGCATCAGGGACTTCTTCCACCAGGTTTCTTTTTTTTTTCACGGCACTCTGTAATGTTTGTTTAAGCTAATTGTAAAAATATAATCTCTAGGTACGCAGATTGATTTGTTTCGTGGTAAAGCAGCAATTCGTGAGCAAGAAGAGGAGCGTTATCCAACGCAGATGGCACGTCAAATCAAGTTTGGCAAGACAAACTATCCTCACTGTTCACAGTTCTCACCTGACGGACAGTATCTAGTAACCGGCTCGATTGACGGATTTATCGAAGTTAGTCGACAGTTTTTTTTCTCAGTTTCGGGTCACTCTATATAATTTTGTATTGTCCCTGTAGCTGGGAAGCTTTCATAACCTAGAAAACTGCGTTAAGCATTTGTTATGTCATTTATCGTATTATAAGATGTCTCAGCGCCCGATGCGCATAGGCACAGCGTTTTATGGACATGAATACAATATTTGCTAACCATCAGCCAATTAATATTGTATTCGTATTCAAAAAATGCTGTGTTCATGCGCATTGGATGGTGGAACACTGGATAATAATATCGTTGTTATTAGCATTACTTCACCTGGTGAATAAATTATCAGCAGTGGTGGAATTAGAAGACGTACGTGAGTTTAAAGGAGAAATATGACAGGTCAGAGAAAAAGCAGTTGCTTTAAATAAAAATAAATTTAGCAGTTATCAAAGGGAAGTGTAAGAAATAATTATCTTCAGTGTATTCGCTGTTCCAAATCTTAATACATTTCTTTTCCATGGATTAAGGATTTAAACAGAGTTAGAAGGTTTTTGAAGTCACACAGTTGTTACAAATTCCACAAAAACTGAATCCCTTTGTTTTCTATCTTTCCATTATTTGGACGCTAACTGTGTTTTTAGGTTTGGAATTATATGAACGGTAAACTGCGAAAAGATCTGAAGTACCAGGCACAGGATAATTTCATGATGATGGATGGCTTAGTGTTGTGCTTGTGCTTCAGCCGCGATTCCGAAATGTTGGCCACAGCAAGCATGCAAGGCAAAATAAAAGTAACCTTATGTTTTAGCTTCGAATTTCAAATATTTTCTTTTTCTTGGGCATGACAGTGCTGTTTGAGCTATAGCGTGAAATATTGCTGACCAGAATCCATTATTTGCGGTTGCTTTCCGGAAAATAGGGATTTGGTCCGCGGTTTGCTAGCAGCCCCACCTTTGGCCCTCCTCCAAGCAGTTTGCAAGGAAGCTGCTTCTCCCAAGGCGGCGTTTGGCTGCTTTGCTCAGTTTTGGTTGCAGACAGCGTCACTCACTGTTGCACCATCACTTTATTTCTCTAAAAATCTTAGTGTTAAGCTGTGCGTTAATTGTGTGAATGAGTTCTGTGATTTGTTAGGTGTGGAAAGTGCAGACGGGGCAGTGTCTAAGGCGAATTGAGAAAGCACACAGTATGGGCATCAACAGCGTGCAATTTTCGCGAGACAATGCCTATGTCCTCTCCGCATCGTTCGACACCTTTATCAAGTATACTATGTTTGTGACTGCTTTCAGTGGACGTTAAATGAACTCGTTTTTTTTTTTTTTTGAAATTTTATATCGTGCGACAGTAATTTTTCATTGATTTCTTTCTGATACGCAATAATTTTTCATTTTTAGTCATAGATTTCCTGTGCAATTTCAATTTTTATTATTATAGAGTTCATGGCCTCAAAAGTGGCAAGTGTCTGAAGGAACTTCGAGGCCATTCAAATTTTGTTAATGATGCAAAGTACACAGAGGTAAGTCGATTTTCTGTTGTGCCACGAAATTGCTTCTGTGAGTGGCAATTTTAGAACCAAAACGAGGCAGGAGCGTTTATACCTAGGATGAATTCTATGGCATTTTTTTTTTTTTTTGCGGCTGCATCCCTTTATACTACAGAAAGTATTATGGGGGAAGGGTAGTGTGTTCCTGCATTTCATACCTCTCATTTTTTAATTGTTTGATTAACTGATATTTCATCGCAGCGCGTCTTCGCACTACGAATATGGTTGGCAGGCCTGTTGCTCGCGACTTTCTATTGTTAGCTGGTGAATTGTCTTTTGTAATTGTAAACAGTTTTAGTGTCCCAAGATTTACGACTTTTTGGAGTCACAGTGAAAGAAATTATTTGCTGTTGGAGAATTAAATTTTATTTTTTTATTAACAATCAAGCAAAAGATGTGCGGTGTTGGTAAGCACGATGGTATGGAATTTATTGCCCCATATAATGCGTTTGCATAATGCGAAGTGAACTGAGCTGGAATCGTGAGGACGAACTGGTAGGGGTTTGTTCCCCGTAGCAAATGTAGGAAGTATCGTTTTTTTTTATTCGATAAAGTCTTAAAGTTTCTAAAATTAACCAGTTGCAGGATGGGCACATGTGTGTCTCGGCATCGAGTGATGGAACAGTACGAGTATGGAATCTGAAAACCTGTGAATGTATCAGCACTGTGCGAGTAGCTGGTGATACAAAAGTCAATAGTATTCATCTGATACCGAAATCTGATAATCAGTTTATCATTTGCAATCAGTCAAATACAATTGTAATTGTGAACATCCGAGGGCAGGTGAGTATTTACTAATTCAAGTTGGCACTGATAAAAACCGCAGTAGCGACGCACCAGGCTTGGCAGTGCGGTCTTGCTGTCTTGAGCTAATCTTGAAACAGTCGTAGCAGCATGAATGGCAATTGCTTTACATTTGACATGTGCACACATGCTGGTTTTAGTTTTTTTTCTCCATACAAAAGGACGAGGTTCGGCTGGGACGGTAGTGTTGTATCGTGAGGCCGCGTGAAATCTTAACTTCAGGCATGCATGTCTGCCGTAAATTTTACTTAAAGAGAAATGAAAAATTTTCGATGAAATAAGACACTAGTCACTGAAGATTTTTGTTCTGGAATTTAGACCTTTGTTGGATGGAGACCATCTTTTCAGAATTTGAAATTGTCTTAGCTGTTTTGGTTCGCGGATTAGTAATTTCCCCGCCAAAATTTTCAGTTGTCCGTAAGTGAGAACCAGGCTTACCTCAATACTGAATTTGAAATCTTTACACCACACTTCGACAGAGAACGTCTTCCAAAAATTTCAACTTCCTAGCTGTCTCGTCTCGAGTCGCAGTTTTCCTCCCAAGACTTCAGATATACGTACGTAGAAACTAGGCGCATTTGGGAGCTGGATTTGAATTCTTTAGTTGCAAGTGAACAGAGGAGTCTTCCCAAAATTTCATCTTCCTGGTTTAGCTGGTTCCCGAGTTGGCAGTTTTCTCGCCAACATTTTTACGTGTCTGCAGATGAGACTCAGACATGCATATGTTCTTGAGGCCGCGCCTGGCTAGGGAACTCATTGGCAAGATTTTAACTTCTGAGCTTATCCAATCGTCCACAGACAGAAAACACACACACACCATGCATTGCATGAATGCGCAAGAACACTTGATAATGGCCGTACCTTAAAGTGCTTAAAGTGAACATTTGTAGTTTATCGTCTCATAAGTTTTAGATCGTTAAGTCGATGACTTCGGGCAAAACAGAAAAGGGCAATTTTGTTGCTTGTACGGTGTCACCTCGTGGTGACTGGGTCTACTGTGTTGGCGAAGATAATGTGCTCTACTGTTTCTCATTGGTTTTGGGTAATCTGGAAAGTACTTTGCCGGTTAGTTCATTTCAGTTCAGCTCGTGCGTTTTTGATTTCCATGCTGTGCAAAAACTGATTTGTACAAATATTTCACTTATTTCTTATGCTCCACTTATTTCGGGCAAGTTTGTGTATCAGTTTATCTGGCCTGACACAGAAGTGTATTTGTATTTTGATACATCCATTTGTTGAAAGGAACCTTATCAGAGGACCGTTACTGTTAGCACAGTGTTATTATCAGGGCAATTTTCGAGTGCCTACACCTTGGAGAGTGGAACATGACTTGAATCACTTACAGATTTTTCGTTTTTTTAAGTTTCATTCCTGCTACAACAGTTAATCTTAAGCCTTAAACATTAATCACGACATAAAGTCAGTTAGAAATATACGCCTTTTCCACGGCATCATTTGTCCATTTTAGGTTTCCAGTTGTCAGCTTATTTTCGGTTTTTTGCTCACGTAATTTCCTGTAAACAAAAGTATGTGTGTCGTTCGTAATTGTTGACAGGCAAAAGGCTTGAAATACGATTAACGTTTGTCTGACAGACATGGGCTTTTTCAGGGCATAGTATTTCTTTTTTAAGAATTCCCAGTGCTTTTGCTTACATTTCAATTGCAGTTGCATGACGATCGAGTTAATGGTCTCTGTCATCATCCGCATCAAAATCTGATAGCATCTTATGCAGACGATGGCTTGTTGAAGTTGTGGAAACCATAAATGAAGAAATTTAGTGAAAACAGTTGTCAGTAAAACATAGATTGTACGTTTCCAGGTGGCTTCATTAATTAGAATTTAATTTAAAAGAATGTCATCTTCTGCCGCGCACCGCTTTTTATTTTACTTGAAAACGTTGATTTTTATACTTCCACTCAGCTCTGACTGCATGTGCTTAGAGTAACTGCAGTCTCTTGTTGCGTTCTTGTTTTGTATTCATGAAAATTATCGGTGAAGAGTTTTCAGTTGAACGATTTTATTCCAGTCGATCCTTCTTCCCAGTCTTTAATAAATTTTTGATAAGCTGTGTCTAAATTTCCTTGGCGAGTCCACAAATGCATAAATTTTACTACATATTTTTTGTTGTTGCTGCTATTGATACAGTTTTTGGGGCATCTCATACAAATTATGCTGGCTTAAATATCTTTGTACTGTTTTTCAAAAAGTTTTGATTCGTGAAGTAATATTGTTGCATGTTTTCTTACAAACACCTCGAATTTTTTACAGTTGATTTGATTCATTCCCGTAAAAATAAAGATAATTTTTTTTGCGACGATCTGTTTACCCAAGCAATATAATTGATAAAATATGCTCAAGTTTGATTAGTGACATCTAATATTGGTAATACATGTCCGCTGATGCAATTTATCCGGTTGTGTATATCGTTTAGGCCAATTCGGGTACTCTGTTATCTTTCCGCGTGGTTTAACTGTCCATTTAGGTAACTGAGTTGGCAGGTTGCGTTTCTGTAGTTTGCTCATTAAACGTGTAGAAGTGGGTGAGCAGAAACACCAAAAATATTCATTTTGAATGGATCTATGCAATTCAGGATGGAAAGGCCTGGATTGCTACGTCGTATGTATAGGATAGTTCCAGTGATACGGGATCCTTCGCGGATTGTTCGTACGGTTTAACGGTTTTTTTGGGCTGCCTGTGTGCACTTCAGATATTGCACTATTTTATTATGCGTTTTGTGCTGTGTAACAGCAGTACAAAACGCATATTGTTACGGGGTTGTCTG